CAAATTAGATCAATTTGCTACTGAATATTCATTTCCAAAACAAACAAGCAACAACAATAACAAAAACCAAATCACCTAGCCTACTTCTGATAGCAAAAGCAGTCAATAAATTTAAAACATGATTTACTTTATGAATAACTTTCCAGAAGCATATCTATGGATAAAGTTAGGTTAATTCTCAACTATTTGTTAGTGGATTCCTGCCTTAGTGGATTATAAACAACCCTGAAAGCTTTGGCCAGACCCCAGAAAAGTGTTTGGGTGAGTGAGATTTAATCTGTGAATATGCCTGAGAGTTCCCCCAAGTAACTGAAGAATGAGCTAGTTGCATTCCTTTCACATTAGTGTTATTTAGTATCTGTGCTTCTTTTTCTCCTCATTAGTTCAAAAACCTGGGAGTTAATTGCACATACAGATATAAAAAAAATCTTTGGAAAAGAAAAATATTAGCTTAAATTCTTTAGTATTTGATTTTACTAGTCGATAATCCCAAATTCTACTGCTAATAAAATTAATAAAAGCATTTTCCTTTAAAAAAAAAAAACACTTTTAGTACAAATTATGTCCGAACATTGGTGAAGAGCTTTACTGACCACAGCTAAAACCTGGCTAAACGCCCGTGTTTCCTCAAAGCAGTCATTCATGAATAATTAGAACTTGGATCTGTGTGTGTGTATGTATCTTGACACATACTGATATGCATGTGTTCCTATGTGTGTAACAATATGGACATACAGTGTGACAAAAATAGAAACAAATGCCTAAATGTGCTTTTAAATGACAGAAAATGCTTTCAAAGCCTCTTAATCTTTATAATTTGATAGAATGAGTATATGTTGTTTAACAAGAATTTTGTCAACTCCTCAGCCTTATATTATGACTGTAAGAGAATAAATGCTCTAGAATACTGGTAGTTTCTGACATCCTCACTATGACACCTCCGGGTCTCAGGCTATGACTTCCCCTTTGATAACAAATCATGACTGTCATTACCACCATAGTGCCCCTGGTTGTCAAGGTCAAATTCTGTTTAGGCAGCATCCCCGTGCCCACCCTTGTGAGCTCTGCTACCAGGGAATCCTAGTCAACAGACTTGGGGCAGACATCCCAAGTGATGCTTTGTGCCAATGACATGAGCCTCTTAGATGTAATAGAGAAGCTCCTGCTTCATAGAGAAGTTTTAAAAGCAAAGAGCATTACTTTTACTTTTAAAGCACTTTTTCAAAACAAGACAAATGGTAGTCAAACCTCTGAAAAGTACCTTCAGTTTACAGATAGTATGTTTATCTGCATCTATAAAATTTGGCCGCAGAGTCCTGCCTGCTGGATTCCAGCTCCAAAGAGGCCTGTGAATGTTGGTGATGCTAAAGAAGAAACCTATCCTCTTAAGGGAGCAAAGTGAAAAGGAACACAAGCTACCGAAAGCTTTCACTTCTGCCTTTCAGAGACTCTGATTTGCCCAGTTTCTGTAGAGGATGTGGAAGGTAACATCAGGGCTGGTTAGAGGAAAAACTGAGAAAGTTACTCTGAAAGTTTCCTACCTGTTATGTACACCTTCCTCAGCCTCAATCTCAGTTTTGTTTCCCAGACCTTAAGTGTTTCAATAGCACAGTGGCCCAGAGGAGTTTGCACTTGAAAATACTGTATAGCTTTGAAAGTGCAAACCAAAAGAAATTCAGCTGTAATTCTAGGCAGAGTAGGTACTGGAGCAGGGGGCAGGGTGTTCCTCACAACCTAGGGCTTTTGGAATGTGTCTCTTCTTGAACTCAGGCCAGGAAAAAAGGTCCCCACAGTTTGGCTTTCCTTTTGGGTAAAAGAGATCGACCTCTTCAGCATAAATACCCAGCTGTGAGCTGGGTCTAGTGCCAGGCAGGCACTCCAGTCTGTTAATCCCTGAGAGGTACCCACAGCTCGGTTGGCACTTATCCCTCCCTCAACTGACTAAGCTACAGGAAGGAGGCCCAGTTATGGCATCAGCAATTGTTCCAGAAATACAAAGGGTGTAAGCATGGCCAGAAAGGTGTGGCTTAAAAAACAAAAATCAGTGCTATCAGGAATGGTTGGAAGAAACCTTTGATGTCAAGGTCAAGGATGACCAGCAAAGCCACCTCATACTTCTGTGAGGGTACACACACACACACACACACACACACACACACACACACACACACACCTAGCAAGAGAAAAAAGAAAAGATCAAACTGCATAAAGGTGGTCCTTTAAAAATGCAACAACAGAATTCAGTACACAACAGCCTATTTCCACTTTTCCTTGAGTTTGATTCTTTTTATTCTGCATCCTTGAGCCTCACTCTTGTCACCTAATAGCTCTTAATTCCAATTCCTTTTCTCAATTCCCTTTTAAGATTATTCAATGGTAAGGTAAGAAATGAATTTTTATTATATTTTCCAACAAGAGTCAGGGCCAAATAATGTCATAAAACATCATACTGATTATAAAAATTATTGCAAAGCAAATGTAACTCAAATTCTACTATATGATTAATTCAAATTCTGCTATATGCATTCTTATTTTCTTAACATATTTGACTCAGTACTAAAGCCCTGTTTTATTATTTATTTATTTATTTATTGTTTCCAGCAAATAAATACCATTTGAAAAAAACTATTTGCTGTATTCAGCAATCTCTTGAAGTGTGTTTTGCCTTCCAAAGTTATTTGGTATACATGGGCCATAGAAAATGCTTAACATTGTTTCCCCAGGGTGCTGAAACCTCAAGGTATTAATCTTCTTTTTACCCTCATTGTCAAGGGATGGTTTACTTTTAATTAAAGGTCAGTTGGTCCATCTTGAGACCACAGTGGAAACATTTAATAGTTCTCTCTCCTGCGACTAGATTCTAACTACCTAAAATATAATTAATGACAGGATGTCAGTCAACAAGTATGCTTTTGTTTCATGTCTGGAGAGTTTAAATGCCTCCAATTTAACAGGGGCCATGATGCTAGTTATCAAATGAACAGTCTTGGCCTAATCTCTAACAGCAGTTGTAAAATGGTGCCTAGTAAATTAAGATAGGGGATGCAACTGAAAAACACAGAGAGTGTTTCAAAATTTCACAGTAATAGATGCTTTGCATTAATTCCCCTCAAAACACTTTCCCTCACTTCAAACACATTTATCCCATTATCCCTGCTACTTTCTTAAGCAACTCTGAACTTCTTCTTGTGTGGATGTCTTTTGTTGCACTGTCATAGCTGCCTTGATGTCCTGAATCAATTCAAAATGTTTACCTTTTATGGTCATTTTGACTTTGGGGAAGAGCCAGAGGTGGCATGGTGTCAGATCTGGTGAATAAGGTGAATGAAGACACACTGCAATGTTTCTATGAGCGTGCCTGTTCACTGAATGGCACTTGGCAGCAGCATTCAGCTTATTGTTGATCACATCTCATAAAGACACAAAGAGGACTTCCAGAACTGCTTCAGAAAGTGATGAGAATGATGGAGTAAGTGTGTTTCAAAAAAGGGGGAGTAATTTAGGGAGATCAGTAGCAATGCATCTTTTACTGTAATGAATGTTTTTAATTTAAACATTCACTGTATATTTTGATCTCTCATTGTAGATGTCACATTGCTCTGAGGAAGCTGGCCTATCTCATTTCTATGCAGTTGGGTATTCAGGTTTGAGGCTAGGACTTCAAAATAAGGATATAAATACCAACCTGGTAACAGGGGAAGATGTGTGCTCAGTTGTTGTACACACAAGATAACAATGACTCACTTCACTCACATTACACTTGGTTGGAGATTTTAAATTCTTTTATAAAAACAAGACTATTGTACCAAAGGCTAAAGATTTTATTAACCTTAATAATAGAATTGAATATGCCAAGGCATGGAAGCAAAAAATTAGAGTGCTGATCCCAGTGCCAAGATAAGAGTTATCAAATGCCACACTGGGTTATTTTGGTGGGCTTCCCAATGTTACAGAGGCTTGGAAACACAGATAGGCACGGCAAGGAAGTATTTGATTCCAACCTGAAGTGGCAGATGACATACTAGAGCTCCCAAGAAGTAGAACTACGTCAGAACATGGATGCTTACTATATATCTCCTGGTTCAGTGTTACTGGAATGCTTATCAGTGAGGCAAAGTCACTAAGCAGTTAAAGAAAGAGGTGGCCATCCTGGCTCTGTTCTACACAGGCCACTGCCAAGTAGCACGGAGAAGCCAGCAGAGTCACCGCCTGTTTGATGCGTCATCTATAAACAACCAAAATTGGTCAGACAAATCTCTGAAGACAAAATGCAAGTCATAAGCCTTCAACCTGAGTTCAAATTTTTAACAATAACAGAGTTCGTATGAGTCTTATTCCCTGTATACATTCTTCCCTCTTTCCTCGTCACTCAAATATGTTCCTATTTATTTTGCTTTCCCATTTCTCAGATTTATTTCTTCCTGCCCTGATACTTAGTGGAGAAAAACAGGCTGTGATTTAGTTTTATCTCAAGACTCAAACTAAATATAGTGCCTCTTCCTTACCAAAGCTCCCCGCTTGGGCAATTTTAAAACAGTTGACAGGATGTTGACTCAAAACTCTCTACCATTCTCTGTGCAGACCCCCAGCCAGATGTGAGGGGATTGAAAGCAAACTGATGATTGGCTAGGCATCTTCCCTGGAGTATTCCACCAACCAAACAGTGCCCACAACCCACACTATTGATGTATGTCATTCCCAACAGACATGGGCACAAGTTTACATGGCTTTCAATAGACAGATCATCTAGCTTTCTTAAGCCAGAATGGAACATGAAGATCCTAGCTCCACTAGCTGTCCTGCCCCTACTAACACTTGCAGTTCACTGAAACACGGATCTGTCTCCCCAAAGGAGAAATCACTGGCATTAACAAACCTCTCACCATCAGGCCTCATTATATATTTCTCACAAGCCAGTAGTCTCCATGATCAAGTTGCTTTGCCTCTTTAAGAAGATCAGTTCTTTAAACTTTTCCTCTGGTCTTTTTCTTCTCTCTCAGGTCATGGATTATATGGAACTTTTGAAATGTTATCCTCCTGGAGGAAAACTAGAGAAGACCAACACGTTAAAGAGCGAACTGCAGCAGTCTATGCAGACTCCATGCTTTCCTTTTCTCTCACCACTGCCATGTACCTGGTCACCTTTGGCATAGGGGCCAGCCCTTTCACAAACATTGAGGCAGCCAGGATTTTCTGCTGCAATTCCTGTATTGCAATCTTCTTCAACTACCTCTATGTACTCTCGTTTTATGGTTCCAGCCTCGTGTTCACCGGCTACATAGAAAACAATTACCAGCATAGTATCTTCTGTAGAAAAGTCCCAAAGCCTGAGGTATTGCAGGAGAAACCGGCATGGTACAGGTTTCTCCTGACCGCCAGATTCAGTGAGGACACAACTGAAGGTGAGGAAGCGAACACTTACGAGAGTCACCTATTGGTATGTTTCCTCAAACGCTATTACTGTGACTGGATAACCAACACCTATGTCAAGCCTTTTGTAGTCCTCTTTTACCTTATTTATATTTCCTTTGCCTTAATGGGCTATCTGCAGGTCAGTGAAGGGTCAGACCTTAGTAACATCGTAGCAACTGCAACGCAAACCATTGAGTACACTACTGCCCAGCAAAAGTACTTTAGCAATTACAGTCCTGTGATTGGGTTTTACATATATGAGTCCATAGAATACTGGAACACTAGTGTGCAAGAAGATGTTCTAGAATACACCAAGGGGTTTGTGCGAATATCCTGGTTTGAAAGCTATTTAAATTACCTTCGGAAACTCAATATTACCACTGGCTTACCTAAGAAAAATTTCACAGACATGTTGAGAAATTCCTTTTTGAAAGCCCCCCAATTTTCACATTTTCAAGAGGACATCATCTTCTCTAAAAAGTACAATGATGAAGTTGATGTAGTGGCCTCCAGGATGTTTCTGGTGGCCAAGACAATGGAAACAAACAGAGAAGAACTCTATGATCTCTTGGAGACACTGAGGAGACTTTCAGTCACCTCCAAAGTGAAGTTCATCGTCTTCAATCCATCTTTTGTGTACATGGATCGATATGCTTCCTCTCTGGGAGCCCCCCTGCACAACTCCTGCATCAGTGCTTTGTTTCTGCTCTTCTTTTCAGCATTCCTGGTGGCAGATTCTCTGATTAATGTCTGGATCACTCTAACAGTTGTATCTGTGGAGTTTGGAGTGATAGGTTTCATGACATTATGGAAAGTAGAACTGGACTGCATTTCTGTTCTATGCTTAATTTATGGAATTAACTATACAATTGACAATTGTGCTCCACTCTTATCCACATTTGTTCTGGGCAAGGATTTCACAAGAACTAAATGGGTAAAAAATGCCCTGGAAGTTCATGGGGTAGCTATTTTACAGAGTTACCTCTGCTATATTGTTGGTTTGATTCCTCTCGCAGCTGTGCCTTCAAATCTGACCTGTACACTGTTCAGGTGCTTGTTTTTAATAGCATTTGTCACCTTCTTTCACTGCTTTGCCATTTTACCTGTGATACTGACTTTCCTGCCACCCTCTAAGAAAAAAAGGAAAGAGAAGAAAAATCCTGAAAACCGGGAAGAAATTGAGTGTGTAGAAATGGTAGATATCGATAGTACCCGAGTGGTTGACCAAATTACAACAGTGTGACAGTGTCTGCTCGGTGTGTTTTCACCCTAGGTCTTATCAAGAGCAGAGATTCTGTTACTGAAACAGCTAAATTCAAGGTTGTTCCCTTTTTTAAGGATAAGAAGGTATTACAACAAAAAGGAAAGGACAAGGGGGGTAATTGGCATGGCATATTTTCAATCTTTAAAACAAAAGAGTTATTATGAGAATAAACACACACACACATACACCCTAAGAGACTCAATCTCTTAGGATCAAATAGAAGAAAGCTTATTAACAGGCAGGATCCCATTTTTATCCACACTGCAGATGTTGCTAGTATTGTGATAAACGCAACTGATTGAAAGGTCAGCTGCCAAGGCAGAAATAGCTTTAAGCATTATTCAAACAAGGCTTTCAAAACTTCCCCAGAGCAGTAGCTATAGTCAGTGTCTGTGGCTTGAGGTCTTGGCTGTCTCACCAATCTACCCAACACCTGAGAAGATGTTTATGAAAATTCTGACCAGCAAGCCAAAACCTCAGAATCAGACATAGTAGAATGGCTGTCACCCATGAACTGAAATTGAGTAACCCCTAAATTCACCTGGGTGAGGCATTTTTGTTGTCCAGAATGAATTTATCACATTCCCCATTGATGTACTTTTTAACATTTGTGTAGTTCAGTTAGTATACCTAAAAACCAATGCCAGCTTGAGCATTACAGAATTGGGGCAATTCTATTTTGGAATATCTTGCCACTTATCACCAAATGGGCCTGTTTTATTAGTTACATCTCTTGGCAGGAGGCTTTAGGGACATAAAACTACAGAGCCAAACCCAAATACCTGGCATGATAGAGAAAAGCAGGTGTCCACTTGAACCTAGGGACAGTGTCTTCATTTTAACAACAACAACAAAAGCCAGCTGGTACAGCTGTTTGTGGTTTGGCCCTGCACACATTTTTGCATGGATTCCCAGAAACAACATCTGCCCATATGTAGATGAGGATGGGAAGAGGAGCACTGAAATAGTTATTTGCCATACATGTCAACTTGTAGTACCAGTGTGCTTTTGCCGTGGGACGACTTCTCAGGGACTTCAGAAGACAAAACAAGATAGTGAGTCTAAGTCCTGCCACTGAGAAAGTTTACAGCACTGCAAGGAGATAAAGAGCCAAAAAGAAGAAAGATGACACTTACCAGGAAAAGTAATCACCAATACAGATCAATTGACAACAGCAGTCAAACTTTTCTGTTAAATTGGCTCTCCCTCACCTTCATCCCCCAACACATCTTTTCGGTGCCTCTCTACTTCACTGCAAGTCTCTTCTGTACATTAGCAAGCCCAGGTATTTATATGTTGACTTGCAAAATCAATAGGGGAAATGGTTCATAGGTCTAAACAGAAATGTTTTGTTCTAAAAGAGTGATTATGTTGCCACTGACCGCTGAACTTTTTCAAATCTATAAAAATGAAACTAAAACTTACTTATAGTTGAAACAGACATCTACAGTATTTTCCTCTTTGTAGATATGTGGCTTCTTTAGACATCACTAGTGGTAAGCATTTCCCAGAAGCATCTTACTTTTCTGGCCCTAAGCAGAGGTACTGTGTGACTTCCCAATCCTTGAAAGATGAGGAAACTGAAAACTAAAGGAATAAAGTGACTCACCCAGGTCACACCACTAGACAGTTCTCATCATTTTAGCATGCCTAAGACAGGACAGGTCAATATTAAGTTTTTTAATAAGAAAGATATTACCCCCCTTGAAATACATTTCTAAGACAGAAATATAGGACTTTATTGCCACTGGGCAGACACTTTTTAAATGTCTAAGATAAAAATGTTTGGCATTTCGGTGTACCATTGTCCTTCTAAATAGCAAAAAACAAAAAAACAAAAAAAAAAAAAAGCCCAAATGATTCAGATGTAACCACACCAAGTGCAAACCTGTGCTTTCTATTCATGTACTGTTGTACATAAAGTTCTAAATACATGTGCAGGGGATCATAGCTAGTGCATTACACACTTGTTCAGTCTCTCCTGCAGATACACTAAGTGATCATACTAACGTGTTATACACTCAACAAGAAGATAATGAGCTTTAATCCAAGGACAAGTACAGTCCTCACAAAAGGGCAAGTTTGCATAATAGATCTTTAATCAATTCTCTCTCCTAGGGGCTTGCAACTAGGCTATTATTTATAAAACACAACAGAAGAGGGGATTGGTTTTATTCTTAAATCATATGTTGCTAAATCATTTTCTGAACAGTATGTTCTAAATCAGCCATTGATTTAGTGTCAGCCACATGGAGCACCTCAGCTTAAAATGACTCCACAAAACTGACATAACACATACACCAATTAAATGGATTTTGTTGAGAATTTAATCATTCAATTTGGTCAACTGGAATGACTTACTATGGAACTTTCTTTATGACAGATAGTAGTTTTCCAAGTTGATTGAGTCTCTGTATACCCTGGGATATTGTATTTTTAAATGAAGGGCATTTTCAAACTTGTCAACTTCTCTTTTCAGCATTTGAAATCAAGGCTTCTGAAATTCTGACTCTGAAATGAATTTTTCTATTGGGGGATTATGCATGCCAAGATTTATTATTTATTGTTAGAAAAATATTATTTGTTAATGTTGGTTATTGCTCTGACAACATTGGTTTAGCCCCACCATGGAGAAGACACCTTAGAAGTATCTCAAAATCACATCTCCATAAATTTTAAGTCTGTCTGTCATGAAATTTTCTTTTTGGAATTGCTACAAAGAGGGAAAAAAAGATCCCAGCAAGCACTTGAAGTGTTTTTTTTTTTCTTTTAAGTCCAACCAAGACATTAGTGTTCACTTTACCAAAGAAACTTATTTGGTTGGTTTTGATTTTGTGTTTGTTGTTTGTTTACCAAAGACAATATTCCATTCATCAAAAATATTTCTTCTGGTCAAGTAAAAAAACTGTGATACATGAGGTCACTTGGCCTTCATAAGGAAAATAAGAAAAGCCAAGGTAAGGATGATGATATTCTCTCATTGAGTGAAACTTAGTAGAAAATGTGAACTCACAAGGAACTTAGGATTTACAAGAAACAAAATGATACATGAAATAGGGCATTATTGTTTAGTCTTATAGCAGTGTACCAACAAGTAGCAAAAGGGCTTCTCAGGCTAAAGGAAGTACAATTGGTTCCACAGAAATTATAAGAAACGCCTTCATGAAAATCCCTATTCATTGTTTCAGCCTATGAGTTTTGTTTTGTTTCAGGTTATTGTTTCCTTTTTGGTGTATATTGCTTTTGTTTTAATTTACGATTTATGTTTATTTCTGCCTTTCCTACCACTTTTACCCTCAATTTTCAGTTAAAAGACAGATTACCAGATGCTATCCTTCATGGCCACAGTTACTTACACAACATACTACTCTAAAGAAGACCCTTGAAATTTTCTTTATTTGAAATAACCACCATCCAATTCTAAGTGGCATTCTGTGACCATGACACTACTTTTTCTCCAGCCCCAACAACAGAGCTTGGCTGTGTCCTTCACAAGAACAGGAGAGATGGAGAGCTGCCTTGGGGTGTAGCAGGATACAAAGCCTCTTGGCCACAAGTGATATCTTTCTCATAATGGGTATATTCTTTTGGATCCTATTAAAGTATCCCTGCAGCTTGTAGTAGTGTTTGACCTCTGTGAATCTGTTTTGTCATCTATAAAATGGGGATAATAACAGTAAATATCTTTCAATTAAGCAAATATTTATTGAGTGCCTAATATTGCCCATATACTGTTACAGAGACTGGAGACACAAAAGTTAACAAATCAGGTAAAAAATAAGTCTGCCCACTTAGAGTCTGCATTTGAGTGATGTGGCAAGTTTCTGGTGAGAATTAAGTGACATGACATTGGGAAAGCAAGGACTGGCAAAGAGTAGGAACTCATGACATTATAGTTAACTTGTCAGCCTCACACAGTAGCACAGGGCTCATGATCTAAAGCTACACAGTAGTAGATGGATGTGGCATAAGATTAGGGCTATATAAACATGCAGGGAATTGCCACAAAAGTTAATTCCAGTCATTTTAGAACATTCAAAATTTGGCTGGATCACCACTTAGTGGAACAATTGTAAAGGAGGTATAAGCCCTGAATGTTGGGGTTGGGCTTTAACCATGAAAATGGGATATAGGCACTTGGGGTGGGGGTGGGGAGGGGACAGCGCTGATTATTTTTGCTATGCCTGGCTTGTCTGAAGACATTTGAACATTCCCTTTGGGTAATTTGCTTTTCAGTTGTGCTAAATAAAAAGCACCCAGTATCTGAAGACAAAGTTCCTATTTTTTTAAAAAAATGGTAACGTTGTAATACAAAGGAAAATATTAAGTTAGCACTATACTGGATTGGCTGGCAAAGAACTGACAATGGCTATAGACAGCATATTACAGAGTTCTTCCCTGTGGTGGTTACAACTGTTTATTTCTGTTTCATGCCAATCCAGGAGAAAGCAAAAGGGAAAGTGAATGAGCTCGAATCTGTTCACCTGCAGACAGTGTCAGGATGTCCTCCCTAGCCCATCTCTCATCTGCTCCCCTTCATTCTGCCCAGGTGATCTGTTTGAATTCCTCCTTGACACCTATGAGAGTGCCAAATAAGGAAAAGAAAGTAAGATGACCAGAGAACTCTGGCCTCTGTGCAGACTTCTGAGTTAGGTTAAAATTAGCACCATGAGATTTAGAGAAGCCTACCTAGTAGGGAAATAGGCTTCTTTTCAAAGTACAAAGAAAGCAATGTGTACCAAGGAGGCAACCCACAGACGAACCTTGGTGGAAAGGAGTGATGTTCCTATGGAATGTGCCAGCTTCTCCCTCCCAAATGTTGACACCAGATGCATCTTTGGATAGAAGTAATCCTACTCCCTCATTTTCCATGTGAGAAATCTAAAATCTGGAGAAGTGAAATTCTATCCACAGAGCTAGTTAGAAGCAGAAACAGAACTGTAAATGAAGTCTAGTTTCTAGTCTCAGTTCTTTCTCCATTTTGCCACTTTACTGCCAAATTCTGTGTATCTAAAATTTGGGGTCTTAACCTGGGGGTTGTAAATGAGTTGTTAGAAGGAGGAACTCTGAGCTCTCTAAAATTAAATCATATGCAAAAATGTGTGTATATGTTCAATATGTGAATTTTCCTAATTAGAGGGTTCCTAGCTGTCATCAGATTCTGAAAGAGGTCTGTGACCTAAAAGGAGTGAAGAACCACTGTCCTAAATTAATAAAGACCTCATTGGGAGTGTGATCCTGGTGTCCTTGTTTTAGCTAATGAGCAATCAAGAACTTCTCAACCATTTTGTCTGCAAGGAGCCAAGAATTTCTTCCAAATACTGGTTTCTTCATGCCAAGCCCAGTGCCTATTTCTGTTCATAAATTCTTCATTCACTCTTTCACTCATTCATTTGCTTATTCTGAAAACACATTTTCAGTGCTAATTTATTTCTAGCACAAGCTAAATATGACCTCCATGGCAAGACCATGAAAGGACTCCTTTGAATTGTGCCCTTGTGGATAGAAAAAATACCGGTTACTACCACAATGCAACAAAATCTATACAGCCTCAAAGTTACAGTAACTTCCCCACACACATATGCAAAGAGTGGGGGCCAACCTATAGAAGTGTGTCCTGTCAAAGAACGACATAGGTGAGCCCTATTTTGAAAGGTATACCAGGCACACTTGAACACACATGTTGCTGACTCCCCGACAAACAGTCTCATTCATCTTGATAGTACTCGTAGTAGGCAAATAAAATAAAACAATGACTATAAGCGGATGAGTTCATTTAAAGACAAGTGTGTGTCTTGGACACATATACGCAAATAGAAGGCTAGTCCTTTTGATTACTGGTCAGAAGCAAGATATAAAATAGTTTGATGGATGATGGAAGAATTTGGAAAATAAATGGCTCTACCTGTCCTTGGTTTTGCTTCTAGTATAACTCTAGGCACAATAATCTACCAAGATTTATTTACGAGCAAGCCTGAGGAAATCCCTGCTTGGCCTGCACTGAAACACAACACTGCCACTTGCTTTGCCCTCTTGCCAGCCATCAGGGAGACTTTTTTTCAGATGGAGGAACATTAGTCCTACACTGCAGCATCTGTTGTGAGGTTTAAGGGCTTTATTCATTAAGATCTGCAGCGCTTTGTGTAATTCCTACAAAATACCAAAACATTCCATTTATTGTTTCCCATGCCAGCATTATCCTTGGAAAAAAACCCCAAATCTCTATTAAAACAATGTCCTTGATTCTCCAGAATGACTTCTGAATTTGTGTGGTTCAGCCTTTTGGATATTTATTTTTTAAGTTAACATCCTGCAAAACTTGTCTTTGTCCACTATTCCAGAATCACCAAGACAGTTGTCATAATGCCCTCTAAGATTATGGATGACTGGGCAAAATCAGCAAGACCCACTGGCTCTGTTTGGGTGACACACAAACACTCACAATGCATACACACAGATATAAATATGCATCTACCTTTCACAGTATGCCTGATACATGTGAGGCAGTTTGGAATACCTTAGTAGGCTCAGTCCTGTGGTTCCATAGGTTTGTGAGGTTTGTCTGCAAGACACCACACCACACCAAACAAACAAACAAACAAAAACTTCCTTTTCTATGTTTCCTGGATGTGAACACATCTGACAGCAGCCAAACAATATTCTTTAAAGAAAAGAAACCTGGAAAAGTCAACACATTTTACAATTTATAAGTTGCTAACTAATTGTTTCATATTGAAAAAACTATATTTGATGGACTTTTCCAAGTCATTATAAGACTAGCAAGGATACAGAACCACAGAGATATCTCCCAACATCTAGGATTGTGGAAATTTACCCAGGCACAGTAGCACACACCTAAAATCCCAGCTACTCTGGTGACAAAGTCAGGTGGACTGCGAATTTGATAACAATTTACTAACACTCTGCCTCAAAATTAAAAGCGGCTCAGTGACAGAGTGCTTGCCTAGTGCAAGGCCCTAGGTTCATTTCTCATTGCTGAAAAAAACAGAATTGTGGAATTTATCTGAAATCCTTGCTTGGTGACCCAGAATGAGGGAAAGGAGAGGGAGGGAAGGAAGAAAGGCTTGTAGGGTGATCATTCCATTTTTCCAACTCTCAGTAAGAAATGAGCAGTTTCCATTTATCCCTACTGTATCAGTTTGCTAGGAAAATCAATACATTTGATCCAGCTCAAGGAAAAGAGATGCCATCTAATGAAACCTGGTGATAGGAAACATCAGTGAAGAAAAACGTCATGGAAGCAACAGAAGAATTATCCTGAACCAGACACAACACACACAAAACTTAACTAACACACACAAAAGTGGGAAAGCGGACATTAAGAGGAGTCCTGGTACCTGGTACGGCACCTAGAAATTTTGGGAATAAATAAGTCAGGTAATTATGAGGACATGAAAACCAATGAAATTTGTAGAAATTGTTGAATATATATGGTAAGAATAATGGAGTTGTTAAGGATTTACTCCAGAATAAAAATATAAAAACTTCACCTGTCCTTTTTTTTACTAAACTGAAACGATCACACATTTTCTTTTGAATTATTTATTAACTCATAATTTCTCCTTAGTAACTTGATCAGAAAACAGTTTCTCTCCTTGTTTTTTATGATCCTATAATTCAACCACGCAATATTTGCTGTGGATTTACACTCTAGCTGAACACCCATGAGCAGAATTATTTAGTGCCAGCTCAAAATAAGAAAAATTTCTGCTTGGTTTTAGTAATTCCTTGGCCTAGTTTTTTCTCATTAAGTAAATGAAAAATTGCTTCAAAGCTGTAAAACATGCGTCTGCTTAGTCAGTGCACTTAGTTCTTTAACATCAAAGAAATCTTCTGCCAATAATTATTAACAACCAAAATAGGCAATTTTGTAAAATCCTGAATTATTTCTATAGTGGTACAATTTTAATGGGTAAAAAATCCATATGGAAGAGAGTCTATGCCAAATATTTAGTAATGCTGGGGAAGAACCCCACCTAATTATGAAGTAGTTTATATATTAAAATGTTTTATGTCTCGTCATCACTAATGAAAGAAGTTCTTGAAATTGCATATTATTTTACAAAGTTTTGAGCTAAATCAAATACATTTTTCAGTTGTATTCATGGTAATAGATCATAAGACCATATCTTCTTCATCAGAGTAGCCCACTAAATCAGTATCTTAACAACTATTTTTTCCAAAATATTCCATAGTTATGTATATTTCTTAGTATTTTAGCTATATTTTTCATACTAGGCAAATACATGATACTGGTAATAATAAACTTTTACTTTTAAATGAAGAAAAATATGTAAATGCTGGAGCACACAGGTAGTTTAGATTGTTCAGTTTTGAGATAGATAAGCATAAAACTTTATAGGGAAAAAATGCAGCTCCACTCTGACCTGAACAAAGTGTGAGTCACATCATTTTCATCCATGGCATGGAGTACCTGCTGTGGTGGGACTTAACCAAAGGCTTAACCAGAGCAATGTTTCACAAACTTAAAACATTTTCTAGAAAAAAAAAAACATCAGTCAACCTTTCTTGGAGCCTCTCTACTTCATTATGACAAGGTTCTTTTGTACATTAACAAACCTCGATGATTATGTTGTTAGTGGCTCATGGGTTTAAACAGAAACAGTAGGTCTGAAGAGGCTATATGTGGCTGTCCCAGACCCCTGCCATTCCTTTAAATTGACAAAAATGAAGCTAAAACCTGGTTATATTTTTTGGCAGATATTGACAGTGTTTTCTCTTTTAAAGATACTTAACAAAAACCAACATATTAAAAAAATGACTAATGCTTTCAGAAAAATACTGTTTCATTATATTTTCATACTTGAGTTTCTCTGGTGCTTCAAATATGCAGCATCCCACATCTACACATCAGTAGGGAAAACCATCCCACTGGTGACCAGTAATCCCACAGTTCCCCTCTATCTGACCAGCTTTCCATGGAGGACAACATTTCATGCCTGCAGATGGAGTTAATGGATGGAAGAAGCCCCTAGGCCACTTAGAACACTGAATCCAGGAAATGGCTAGTGCCAAATACAGCAAGTCCTTCTTTGATTATCTTTCCATACTAAAATACCACCATCAAATCAAGCATCCTGTTTTCAATCTTGACAGTCAATTCCCAGTATAAAGATGTCAAAATTCTGCTTTCACCTTTTCTTTTTTATTTATTAATCTTTAATTGACATATAAAACTTGTATAGATTAGTGGGGGTACAGTGTGATACTTTAATATACATATGCATTTGTGGAATGATTAAATCAAACTAATTTGTATACCTATGCCTTCTGTACTTATCCTTTTTAAAAATGTTTTGCTTTCACTTTTTAATGCATGTTCTAATCTTTTCATAGACACACACCAAAGAGTGAAATGGCAATGGGCCAGAGGAATAACTCCAGTTGGATTTTTTCCTTGTCTTAATGTTCAGATATTTTAGTGCTCTTTAACAGTAATTTGTATGAGAGGTGGTTTTGTTTTTGTTATTGTTGTGTTATTTTGTGTTTTCCAGATGAATAATCAAGAATGTATATGGATTGAAGACTGGGTTTTCTGTTTATCAAAAGATATCTTTTTATAAAACCTTGCATAGGGTGTCTTCTTTACATTAATGGTGCCATTGTTGTATTTCTGTCTCTAGGCAAAGACAACAAAAATCCATTTCTTGGTCTTAGTTTAATGCATGATTACAAATGGGGCCATAAAATTATAGCAAGGAGCACCCTATCTGCCTGCATGCCTGGATTTACAGAAAGTCAATAGAGCCCTAAGAAGTTTGGCCTTTGTTTTCCATAGCATTATTTTTCCAGGGACATTTAGAATGTGACAGAAAAGAAATATGGGGTGTATTACCTTATAGTTAACAACCTGTATGGAGAGAGAAGAAAAACCTAGGAAATCAGTAACAAAGCAGGACATATGCATGAGGATGTCAAAGCATTTGTTAAGGACTGGTGAGTGGATTTTCTTTTTTAGAACATTTCACAAAGCTAAGTGAATGGATGAGTGATCACTGTCAGAAAGAAAGTTTCAATTCAAAATTATATGTTACAGATATCAACTTACAATATTGATCTTTAATATAAAGGATTGGGATAATTTCAGATTTTGTCTCAGTAGTACTGAACTGGAACTCGGCAGCTGGGAACTGCAAAGAAGTTGCACTCATACTCCTGTCAAAGTCCTTATTTAGCCCATTTCCATGGAAACTG